CCAGCTTGGTGGCTCTCCTCTGGACACGCTCCAGCACTTCAATGTCTTTCCTGTGGTGAGGGGCCCAGAACTGAACACAGCACTCGAGGTGAGGCCTCACCAGGGCCTAGTCCAGAGGCACGATGACTTCCCTACTCCTGCTGGCCACGCTATTCTTGATACGAGCCAGGATGCTGGTGGCCTTCTTGGCCACCTGGGCACACTGCTGGCTCATGTTCAGCCTGCTGTCCACCAACACCCCCAGGGCCTTTTCTTCTGGGCAGCTCCAGCCACTCTTCCCCAAGTCTGTAGCGTTGCCTGGGGTTGTTCTGACCAAAATGCAGGACCCGGCACTTGGCCTTATTAAACCTCATCCCATTGGCCTTGGCCCATTGATCCCGAGGGTCTCTTCCAGCCCTAGATGATTGATTTTGTGATTATCTTTCCCTCTGCCCAGCTGGTGTGGCTGCTGCGGGAGCTGGTGAAGAGCGGGGTCCTCGGCGCCGACGGCGTCTGCATGACCTTCATGAAGCAGATCGCGGGTGAGTTGTGCCACCAGGAGCCAGGTGACCGTCCCCACCACCACCACCCTTGGCTTGGTGGCCAACCAGGGCTGGCTCGTGCCATGCTTTGCTTGGCATTGGAGCCAGGACAGACTTCCCCAGCGTCTCCGTGCCCGGCTGAGAGGGGGGAGCGGGATTTGCTGCAGGCACCAAGCCTGCCCCGACCTGTCTGGTGAGGAAATGAGGATAAACCTTTGCTCCCAACCAGCCTTCCATGAAGGGTGAATCACAGAGAGAGCCAGGAGGGCTTCTGGCAAAGGCTAAAACCAGCCAGGAAGTGGATTGATTCCTGTTTCTGCCAGATTTCACCCCGTAGGGCTGTGCGAGATCATCCTCAGTCCCCGGCTCTGACCTCTGGGATGCCTCTGGCTCCTCTGTAACTCCTCAGAGAGCCCACTTTGCCCCACGGCGAGTTGGTAGCCCCTCCAGGGGCTCCAGGGAGCCAGCAGTGGCCGTATGGTGGCCCATGGTGTGTGTGTGTCCCCTCCAACCTCACACACACACACACACACGCCTTTCCGGAGTCACAGGAACGGTGCCTCTTCCGTGTTCTCCGCTGGGTGTTGACGTCCACCCAGGAGGAATTAACGTCCCCCCGTAAAACCCACGGTGGTGGTGGTTTTTTGTTTGTTTTTTTTTAAAAAACACGGTGGCCCACAGAGTGTGTGTGTCCCCCCTCCAACCTCACACACACACACACACACACGCCTTTCCGGAGTCACAGGAACGGTGCCTCTTCCGTGTTCTCCGCTGGGTGTTGACGTCCACCCAGGAGGAATTAACGTCCCCCCGTAAAACCCACGGTGGTGGTGGTTTTTTGTTTGTTTTTTTTTAAAAAACACATGGTGTTTTTTAATCCTACGGGGTTGGGAATCGCTCGGGGCTGCTCTTTTCGGGGGAGGAAGAAGAAGGAGGGAGGGAGGGAATGAGGGAGGGAGGGGACGACAACGTCCTGAGCACGGGCCAAGCTGTTGTCAGGGTGTAAACACAGAACATTTAAAAAAAAAAAACAAAAAAAACCCCCAAACAAAACCAAAAACCAAACCCCTCGTGAAGGCATCCCTTGTTTCCCCTCCCCGTTCGGGGCCCCTTCTGTTCTGGAAGGGCTGCTGCTCTCTCACTTCTCACCGCTTTTATTACAGCTGCTTTAATTGTTCTGATCCCATTGTTTTTGGCTGCCCTGCTTTAGGCATTTTCCGTGCCCCCCCCTTCTCCCCAGGCCCAGATCCTCTCCCAGCCACAGCTTCCAAAGTCTCCAGCTTCGTGCTGGAAGCCCAGACCGAGGGCGTGAGACATCCCTTTGACACTGGGCCTTTATTTGGGAGTTTGGGACATTTTTTTTTAATTTTTTTGCAGACACCATTGCCCTTTTGCAGGCTCAGCAGCTGCAAACGTTTTCTCTTTTCCAGCTGCTGAATCTCATCCCTTCCTGGCTTCCCCTTTGCTTTCCGGAAGGATAATTACTGACTCTGTGTTATCTCAGTTCTTTTGCAAGAATATTGTTGCAGCAAAGACCCCCTTGGTCCCCAAACAGAAAAACACTTGTGCCTAGAAATGTGCTCTGTCGAGGAACGGCCAAACACGTGGGGCAGGAGAGTGTTCTCCAGGCAGGGAGGAAACCCCTGAATTAGCTTGGCTTTACTGGGGATACTGGGACCGAAGCATCCATGGTTTGGTTGAGTTTGATGAATAGCCCTGCTCCATCTGACTGGTTTTTTTCTCTTTTTGCTGCTTTCCAGGTGGGGATGTGACAGCAAAGAACATCTGGTTGGCTGAGAACGTGCTGGAGATACTGACTGAGCAAAGGTAGGGGCTGGGGGAGGCTGGAATGGGCTGAAGAGAGCAACGACCGGGCACAAAACGAGGGGAAAACCCTCCATGGTGGCTCCTTGTCCTGCTCCCTCCGAGAGAGGCAGATTTTTGGGGTGGTGTTTTTGCTGTGGAAGCAGATTGATGGGCTTTTCCTGCAGGAAAATCTCCTCCAGGGCCCCTTTGCCCCGTTACCCAGCACCTTTTCAAGCCTTGGTGTGACATTTCCAGCTCGTGTGACATTTTAGCTTGATACCAAGCTAAGCAGGAGTGGTGACCAGAGAGCAACGACCGGGCACAAAACGAGGGGAAAACCCTCCATGGTGGCTCCTTGTCCTGCTCCCTCCGAGAGAGGCAGATTTTTGGGGTGGTGTTTTTGCTGTGGGAGCATATTGATGGGCTTTTCCTGCAGGAAAATCTCCTCCAGGGCCCCTTTGCCCCGTTACCCAGCACCTTTTCAAGCCCTGGTGTGACATTTCCAGCTCGTGTGACATTTTAGCTTGATACCAAGCTAAGCAGGAGTGGTGACTCCCAGGAGGAGAGGGAAGCCCTACGGCGGGACCTA